TTACTCACGGGATGATATTATTTGTTTCAAACGTGCCAGGACATGCTTTGATGGTTCAGCTGTTTGTGCGACTTCATTTTCTCACTGTCCGGGCTGGACCAAAAAACGCAAGCCTGCAGGATGGCAAGTTGCCCTTAATTGCACCCCTCTGTGAAAGATGACTGTCTCCTCATTGTTCAGTACCAACGCTCGGTCCCTGTTTCCCAAAATGTCGGATTTAACTAGTGTCATCCGATCAGGAATTCATGCAAACACGTGTGCAGTCTATGTTCAAGAATCCTGGTTGAATAAGGACGTTGATAACCCCCTATTGTCAATAGACGGTTTTCGAGTTTACCGGCAGTATTGTGGAACCGGAGGAAAAAACACGCTTCTTGATGTGGCAAGTCTCAAGTTGTTTATCATTACTGCTCAAAAGGTATCGAGGACCTAACTGTAGAGTGTTATCCTAGATTTTCCCGTTTTACTCACACAATTTTGACTAACTTGTTTATAGATCCCTCTTGTACACAGTCCGATTGTATCTAATTTTTAAACTCTTTCATCCCTTTTATTGCCCCCACGTTTAGATGTTAACCGGCACATGGTTGTTGGTGACTTCAACCGTAATAGTACTTATCTACTTTTATCATTGAGTATGACAGATCTCTGTCACCCTCCCGCAAGAGGTAACTCTAGACTGGACAGAGTAATTACCAACAACCCAACCTTTTTTCTTTAGCGTTAAAAGCTTCTAGTTCTTCTTAATCTTAGTTCTACCTAAAGTTTATTCACATGGTGCATACAAATCTTTCTCTCGATCTGAGCACATCAGATCTTGTTTTCGTAACTTCTCACCTACACGTGATTCTCTCCTAAATGAATCTCTCAGACAGGCCTCCCTATGGTTTTCATCATCTTCTTCTCTGCTCACAGGTGTCCCCCTATTCACTCAAACAATCAATGTTATTTTTAATTACTGTTGTCCTGTTTAAAGTTTATATTTGTCCAACAGAAGGATAAACTCTCCCCTACCAAAGTCGCTGCGACGACAAAAGGAACGTGTGTACAAGTCTCGCAATGATTCAGCTGTTAGGTATTTGTCCGGGCTTATCAAAGCCGAAGTAAATAGATTGAACGCATTATTCTCTAATCGAATTCTGAAGACTGGAAACAGCAAACATCTGTGGCAAGGTATAAGACTTCTATGTGGAAGGAAGGACGTACGGTCGAAGTTGGATGTGGCTGCTGATGATCTGAATGCTGCATTCCTGCGCCAGTCAAAAGACTCGTAGCAAAATGATTGTAACGTGGAACCACTCTCATATTGTGATGTGTTAAAACTTTCAAAAAGTTACAAATTAATAACAATAATAATAATAACGGTATAGTTCACGAAGCTCGTGAGGCATGCTAGTGCGCATGATCAAATGTACAACAATGTAAAAAATGACGGTCCAAAGATTAAATGTACAGAGAGGGTAAGAACGTAAATTTCACCGTTAACAGATGACTGGTTTATGTTATTGATGTTATTTAGGCGTTGGTCGCTTTGATGTGGGACTGAATACACGCTAGACACCCAACCTCAAAACACCTTGTAGGTGAGGCAGGGGGTGTGATCCTCAACCTGGTCCGGAATGCGGACACATGTAGTCTAAACGGTGGATACAACCGGGCCCAACAACCCGTGCCGGAGCCAGATTGTTCATTGTGGGTGTAGACCCCTAGCCTTCGGCAGGCTCAAGCCGACCGAATCTGAAACAAAAAGGGCGAAACTTGGCAGTCTGGGGAAATACCCAGCTGATAAAGGTAGAGGGGGAGAAACAACATGTGGCAAAGGAATATGCAGAGAGATTCAATGCCCGAAAGTGTATAAATTTATATTTATACATAAATATATACATATATATATATATATAGGCAGAGGAAAAATGGACCGAGGTGTATCAATGGAATTGACATGACAGGACGAAATTCTGGAAGGTAAATCGGGTGCATACAGTAACGCCACCCAAAGGATTTCGAGTTCGGATTATTGGGTCACAATACGTGTATAAATACGTACCAGAATTAATTATGTTCCACAAATCCAGCTTCGAAGCCGAATCCATGTACTGATAAGAATTGGGTTTATAAAGTGAACACAGCTGCCCGGTTAGCATGTACCACTGCTGCAGGCCCGGATAACTTGCATCCGGCCCTCTTCAAATTTGGTGCTGCTTCCCTAGCCGGGGCAATTACCTCCATTGTAAATGAATCTCTTCACACTTTAAATCCGACTGTTGGAGGCCAGTTACAATCATACCAATCCCCAAAGCATCCAAATCTTCTATCCTCTCCAAACGTTAGCAGTAACATCTTCAGCTCTTAACTTCAATGAAAAGGCCATCCTCAAACGCCTTCAGCAGTCTATAAACGTTCCCAGTGGTCCGTTACAGTTTCCTTACAAGCCTAATTGACCTTGGATACAGTATCCACCCTCATCCCTTTCATCACTAAATTTTTAAACTTCTCTGCTAAGTCTGTTCGGTGTTTCTTTTCTGGACTACTCTTCTGCATTTGATTTCCTTCCTTGATCTAAGTTGTTACAAAAACTGGAATTGTTTGAATGCCCCACGCAGTTGTTAGCTTGGCTATCCAACTATTTTACCGATAGGGTACAAACCACTAGGTTAAAGAAGGCCACATCGAAACCCTTAGTCAATAACTCCGGGGCCCTTCAAGGAGCTTTGCTATCTCCATACTTATTTTACAATTATATTTGTGATATTTCATGTGTTTCTCCCGCACGTATTTTGAAATACGCAGATGATGTCGTGTTGTGCCAACCCAGTTTTTCGTACTCAGATGTAAGCTCTTTCACCGAATATCTTGATCAAATTCAGTCATTTTCCTCCTCCTTGGGGCTAATCGTGAACCCCAGTAAATGTGTTGAGTGTTTATATAGTTTTGCTCGCTTCATATATCCGACGGAACCCACAGTGATTTATAACAGTCCTTTTTCCCGGGGTGAAGTCTGTTAAATATCTTGGTGTAACCATAGATAGCAATCTTCATTGGTCAACCCACATCCACAACTGCTTTGGTAAACTGCAACCCCTTTCATTTCAAATCCGAAAGCTCAGACAGTTTTGCGCATCCCAGTCAGCTATTTCTACCTTTGTTCATCAGTGAGTTTTCCCCCATCTTACTCTACTGTTTCCCATTTATTCTTCCTGCTTTACTCAAACAGAATTTCAAAGTCTTGCGCCGCGGTCTAACCATTATTAGTCGTGTCTCTTCTATTCCTGTGAATGAATTAACTGTAAAGCTTTCAGAGTATCACGTAACTTCCTGTGGGAAATTTGCTGAAAGGACTCTCACAGATCCTTACCGCCCATTTCATGCAAAACTGACACTTTTTCGTTCCCTTCATTCAACATGCTCCCGATTCCGCCAAATTTCATCTCAAATTAACGCATACTGCAACTCACCTACACCGTATCTTGCTCGTTTACTCCTAAACAAAGAGCGGGCAATAAGCGAAATTTATCATAACCTTGGATTATGAAATGTCCCCATGACCGTAAAAACGTTTTTCCTCTTTGATTATACACATTGTGACGGTTAGCGTGTATGATTTTTTAACTGAAATGTGAGCTCCAGTGCTTGCAAACGTTTTACACAATACACAATACACAGTGTGGCTTTCCATGACTACACCCAGTGGCCAGTTGTCGCGTTGTAGCCTTTCGTCGGCCATAAAGACAATGTCTCCAACCTTCAGTGACCGTTCTCTATACAACCATTCCCAACGGGCTTGAATGGTTGGCAGGTACTCTCTTGTCCAACGGTTCCAAAACACCCGTGCCAGGTAGTTCGCATGCTCCCAACCCGATGTATAGCAGCCACAAATGGTTTTTGGCATATGTAAGCCAGCATTGGATCTCAGTAGCAGGAGGTCATTGGGAGTTAGCACCAGTCCTTGCAGGTCATCGCTGGTGACGGGTACAAGCGGTCGGTTGTTAAGTATTCTTTCCACCTCTACCAGGAACGTCCTCAAAGTTTTGTCGTCCGGAGCCCATTGTTTACATAATGCTTTTAATATTCTCCGTACCGACCATATGCGTCGTTCCCAAACTCCCCTGACCTGACCTGACCTGACAGGTTCTCAGCGTGGATGGTAAGGTGGGATCTGTCGCTGAGCGCAACCAAATGTTGTGTTCTAAGCAAAAATACTCCGGCTAACGCTCTCAAATCAAGTAGCCCATACTCTGAAACAAGAGAGGTGTGTCAAAGATCTTGGGATTACAGCCCCAGCCAGCTTTGCATCTAGCGAACAATGTGCCGAAACAGCCCACAAGGCAAGGAGAGCGCTCTTTGCACTCAGAGCTGCAATATTCAGCAGAGAAGCCGATGTATTTATCCCTCTGTATAGGCCACTCATCAGACCCCACCTAGAATACTGAATTCAAGCTTGGGCTCCATACTGAGTAATGGACGTAGACAGGTTAGAAAAAGTGCAACGGTTAACCACTAGAATGGTTCGCAAAACCAAAGGACTATCCTACGAAGACCGGCTTCGGCACCTGAACCTCTTCTCTATGCGTAGCAGACGTTTAAGAGGAGAACCGATCAAAGTTTTCAGACAAATGAAGAACGCCGATCTAGGCCTCCTACCTCTGAGATTCAAGAGATAACTAAGAGGCCACGAATGTCACCTAGAAAAGAATAGAAGTAGGTTGGATGTGAGGAAACATTTCTTTACCAACAGGGTGGTCAACTTCTGGAATCGCCTCCCCGGAAGACTCGTTCAACTAAACACAGTACAAGCCTTCAAAGTCGAATTAGATAGATTATAGGCCGAGATCTTTCCAGAATTGACCTAAAACAGAGGGGAAATAAGCTCCCTCTTTTATTTTTCCCACCCCCACGTGCGCACGCACAGCATGCACACACAGGAACGCTTACGCTTAAGGGTACGTAAGTCTCTCACCGACACGGCGAGAAAACAGTATGTTTCCTCTCTTTTTCAGTCTTGCCAATAACAGACGCGACAACTGCTACATCCGAATCCCACATCGTCGGGCGCTCAAAGAATTATCAAACGTACTGCAATCCGGACAAACATACAGATCGATTGGTCTACCGACGAGGGCGAGCCAGAATCCGGGCAACCATAAGGCCGAGGCCTCTACGTCATGGAAAATTTAATTGGATTTCTAAATTCCAGCATTGAATATCGGTGACGTGAAAGAATGGTATCCGCATCCAGCTACTGCAGATAAGCTGGGTCAAAGGAACGCTTGGCAGTCGAAGCACGACGAGAACACGGAGCTCGAGGTGCAAGAACCTGGACACATATTGGCTCGATCCACAAGTCCTGCGACCCGAGCTGATCTGACCTTGCGGTACGTTGACGCGCGGTTGAAATTTTTGAAGTGCTCTGATTTACTTATTGTGTCGATCGTAAAAGTAAAGTGCAATTGCCGTAAACTGACACTTTGCTGTGTTTTGCACTTTATTCCTCCGAGGTTTTCGATCGTAGTTATTTACAGTGCTCTGTCAAAGAGCACTTAACAGCGTGGACCAAACTCCGTGCATAGCCATTTGGTTTGGTTAATTTGGATTTGTGTAAGGCTTTTACGTGTCGTTCTCACCCTTCGTTTTCCATATCACTGTTGTGCATTTTTTTGAACAAGTGTACTGATAATGGCTCGTGTGTTCTTTCCATGTTTGAAGAATAGCTGCGGGAAGAAAGTGGTCAAGGGAACCGAATGCGAAGCCTGCAAAAGGTGGGCGCATTATGGTTGTTCTGGTATTAGCAAAAACCACTGTTGCGTCCGCTTGAGCTCGTAAGTCCAATACGCGTATTAAATTACACCAACACCGTGATCTAGCACGAACGGGCTTGAACTTTGCAATAACGATCACTCCTCAACTGTAATGAACAAATTCGCACACGCTATCGACGATAAATTCCGAACTGGAACGAACGTATTCAATATGATAACAGAACGGTCCCAAGTAACCGAAGCCCACGAGAACGAGCAATCAAAACACGAATACAGACGGTAGACCACGACGTTTATACGGTATCTAAAACACATTATAATAAATTGTACAAATAGGAAAAAACATACTTGAATGTATGCTCACCCAAGCGGAACGCAGAAAACAATGGAACGAAAATGTACACCAAGCTCAACCGAGCTTACCATGCAATATGTCCCGGGTCGAACGTCGAAACGTTATGTTGGAAACTTTAAACAAACAGGAAATTGCAAATAGCAAAGAGTGGAAATGACATGAAACAAACAGTAATAAAGAAAAAGAATAGAAAACCTGTTGTTTTAACTACGGTGCATCAGCTGCCGTACCAACCACTAAGCATGCTTCTGCGCGAATAGCAGGGTAGAGTGGATCTGCGAGCAGTGTAAGGATGCGGCAAGGTCTGCGTTCGCGACGCGGAAATGGGGGGCCAGATGAAGCCGAGCAGTGTGCGTCTTGAGAGCCCAAAATCGTCGGAACCACCCAGAGGAACCTTGAGCACTTACGCTCAGGTCGCGCCAAGTCAAGAAAAGAGTAAACCGCAGGCAGAGAGTTCTTGGCAAACAGTTTTGTCGAAGACTTGGAAGGCAGCAGCGGTATCCACACCGTTACAAAAGCCGCTAACTGTGGTCAACCCCAAGGTACGTCAGGGTGTAAACCGGTCCAAGCCATACCTAGGGTCCAAACCTGGAGCGGGTAGAAATATAGTCTTACATGGGAAGAGAGATAGGTTAGAAGAAGAGCTCCAGGAGCTGAAGAAGTAAGTGAGTACCCTCCTTGCAGTAAGTATCCCCAAAGTTGAACTTCATAGAAACCCCCTTATACTTAACAATGAGAAGCCGAATATAAAAGAGGCAAAGGCCCGTAGAGAAATGGACAGGCGTAGAGTCCATGACATACTCAGGTTAGCTGGAGCTGGAGTGAACAAACACCACTCGTTAGGGGATAGAAAAGCATTGTTACTATTGCACGCCAATGCATGCGGTATTAGGAATAAGTGGGGAGAGCTGGTTACAGTGGCTGCTGGAACAAACGCTGAGGTGATTGTCCTGTCTGAAACGTGGCTAATGCAGGAAGACCACACACCCGAACCAGTTTTAAGCCAGTTCACAGTGCACAGACAGGACAGAAAAGGGGGTACACTGGGGGGGCTGATGGTGTAGCAGTCCTAGTCAGACAGGATCTGCCCCATCACGAAGATATTTTCACTCTTGCTTGCTATGCACCTTGTCCGCGACGAATCTGTTTTGACGCTTCAGAGCCAAATCAGAATCACTATTTTTATTTTAGTTAAGGTTTAGGAACCCCGTTTGAGCATTTCCGCTGAAATGGTGTCGG